AGCGGTTCATTAATGGGGGGAATAGAACACTTTTCTTTCTATAAATGCGTAGTAATTTTGCTCACAAGTTTTTCTGACCTTGAATCATAATAAGAAATAAATCCTTTTACCATCATGAACCAGTACACATGCAAATATGTGAGTACACTTATAATAGCAACAAGAGGTTCATGAAACAGCACTTCTTATATATTTGATGCACCTGGTATTTTCTATTCTATTTTCTTCCATGTCATTAAACACATTGCTACCCACAAACTAATACATTACTGCAGTCCATTAATGGATAATGACCCTTTGAAAATTATGCTTGTACTGAGTAATGATATAGTAAAATATTCAGATTTCAGTAAAATACCTGTAGATGTTATAGGTAAATACCTGGGCAAAGTAAAAAGAAAATGAGCTAAAAACATTTCTAAGGAAACTTTTCCCAAGATTATTTCAGTGTTATACATGCTGATAGCCATAATAAAATAATATACTACACAAAAAAAATACTTAACAACTTTAAAATGCTATGTATAATTAAACATTGTGTGGCTTTTTTCTTTTGATCTACAGTTTTACTTCTCCCACCTGTCAATTTCACCATTAAAGCTATCAATTTAGCTCAAGTTCTTTTACGCTGGGAACCAAATACTGATCAAGAACAAAGAAATGTCCAGCTAGGGTATCACGTGAAAATAAACGCTCCACAAGAAGAAGATGTAAGTGTTTATTCTGATGGCAATTCTTATTTAAATTTTAACTTTGACTGCATTTTCCTTATCAAAGAAATTTTAACTAAAAAAAAAAAAAAAACCACTAAAGGGCTTTTTGTTTATATTCCCAGTAGAGCAATGTCTCTACTGAAATGACTGAGAACCAAGTGCCACACCTGCATTAAACAGCAGCTCGGAACATTTTAACTTTGGGACAATTCTTCCACTTAAAAATCAAGTTTAGGGCTTCCCTGGTGGCGCAGTGGTTGAGAGTCCGCCTGCCCATGCAGGCGACACGGGTTCGTGCCCCGATCCGGGAAGATCCCACATGCCGCGGAGCAGCTGGGCCCGTGAGCCATGGCCGCTGAGCCTGCGCGTCCGGAGCCTGTGCTCCACAAAGGGAGAGGCCACAACAGTGAGAGGCCCATGTACCGCAAAAAAATAAAATAAAATTAAAAATAAAAATCAAGTTTAGTGGGCTCCCCTGGTGGCGCAGTGGTTGAGAGTCCGCCTGCCGATGCAGGCGACACGGGTTCGTGCCCCGGTCCGGGAGGATCCCACATGCCGCGGAGCAGCTGGGCCCGTGAGCCATGGCCGCTGAGCCTGCGCGTCCGGAGCCTGTGCTCCACAAAGGGAGAGGCCACAACAGTGAGAGGCCCGCGTACCGCAAAAAAAAAAAAAAAAAAAAAAAAAATCAAGTTTAGTAACTTCTGAGGTACAATGGTTCAGATATTGGTTTTATATAATTTCCTCTAAAAGAGCCCAAAGAACAGAAGAGAAAAGCCAAATAAAAGAGGAGGGCAGGGTACCTAATCGAAGAGGCCAAGTTCGAATCCCAGTTCGGCCATTTCCTGCCTTTAGAATCGTGGACCAGTCACTTAACCTCTCAGAGCCCCAACGTCACTGCAGGCGTATATTAAAGCACCAGGTACCTAGTAGATGCTCAATAAAATTAAACAAATTAAATTCCAGTCAATATGGAATTCTAGAGAATTTTCCATCAAAAGTTACCTCTGGGGAGAAGACTGGAACTAGAGATGGTAGTCAAAGGAAATTGGAGCCTTCATTGTAACATTTTGTTTGTTTTTATAAGAAGCATTTATTCAGGCATCCTTGAAGAATTAATTTTTATATTTGTATTATGTATTTTTGAAACATGTACACATCTCGAACTGGGTAATTTATTTATTCATTTTTAAAACCACTTTATTTTGATATAACTGACCTGTAAAAAGCTGCACCTATTTAATGTCTATGACTTGATGAGTTTAGGGATAAGGACATAACCTTGAAACAGCGGGTTTAATTTTTTCTAGCAAAACGATCTCATTGCATTGTGTTTACGTGCCATTTTAAAAGTGGAAGAAAACGCCGAGTTGATTAAAATAGTTCTCTCAAGGCCACTTCCCCTTTGCATATCGTGACTTGTGGGTCTTATTTTTAGTACGAAACCAGGAACACTGAGAGCAGACGCATAACCATCCTTCATAAAGGCTTTTCAGCAAGTGTGCAGACGGTCCCGTGGAACGACCGCTCCCTCCAGCCAAGCAGCTGGGTTTCTGCGGAACTTAGAGCCCCACCAGGTAAGGCAGGCCTCTAAGAGCCCAGTTTTATATTTCAGGCTTTGTAAACACAGGCAAGTCAGAAAACAAACACCTGAGTTTTCTCTTCTTTTGTCAGTCACCAGTTCCTGCCCGGTATCCTTTTACCTCATCAACATCCTCACCAAGACCATGATCACTTCTCAGTGTCATAACCCTTGGAGCCGACTCTGTCTGGCACGTCCCTGCCAGCACTGCGGATATTTCTCCTCCCCAGCTCAAAAGACAGAGGGTCATAAACTAAATCTGGGCCAATCAGGTCTCTCATAATTGGGTTCCAGGACATCTTTCCAACCACCCCCTACGTGATTCCTGCACTCTTCTCAGATGGATTTACAGCCATGACGCCTACACACTAGCACAGTCCTGCCTCGGAGCCCTCGCTTTCCTGGGCTCACCTGACGGCTTTTCTGAATCCTTCCTATACTTCAGAGCCCAAATCAAATCGTACCTGCTCTGTGAAGCCCTTTTTCATGTCCCCAGTCACTACCCTTTCTAAAGAAACAATCAGAAGCTGTCATGGCAATGTCTTGCTCTTTTTTTTAAAAAAAAAATCTTTATTGGAGGATAGTTAATTTACACTGTTGTGTTACTTTCCGGTGTACAGCAAAGTGAATCAGTTATACATATACATACATCCACTCTTTCTAAAAACATTTTTGACCATCTAGGGTCTCCTGGAACCTCAATTGTGAATTTAACTTGCACCACGAACACCAAGGCAAATAATTACACACACTTACGGCCGTACCAAGTTTCTCTTCACTGCACCTGGCTTGTTGGCAAGGATGCCCCTGAGGATACGCAGTATTTTCTCTACTATAGGTTAGTATCTGTTTTCACTTTCGTGAGTGGGTTGATTCCTCCAGCCTTAAAAACTTATGAGTGTTCCAATTCAGGTATGGCTCTTGGACTGAAGAATGCCAAGAATACAGCAAAGACACCTTGCAGAGAAATATCGCCTGCTGGTTTCCCAGGACTTTTATCAATAGCAAAGGGCACGACCTGCTTGCAGTGTATGTTAACGGCTCAAGCGAGGAAGCTGTGATCAAGCCTTTCGATGAGCTCTTTGCCCTTCATGCCATTGGTAAGATGGGCTTGACTCAAAGCCAAAATAACTGAATCGCAGAATCTCAGCACTGGGAGGGGTTATAAGGATCACCTTGTTCAGCTACCTGTCTGGTGCTAAGTGACCATCTGCCCGCTGCTTAAGAACCACAGTGTCAAGGTTTCTCAGCCTCCGATATATTTGGAGAAAGAACTGTGTGTGTGGCCTGTCCTGTGCCTTACCAGGTGTTCAGTAGCAGCCCTGGTCGCCACCAGCTAAATGCCAGTAGCACCTCCTCCCCCTCAAATTGTGACAATAAAAATGTCCCCTAGGGGATAAAATCTCCCCTCGTTGAGAATCACCGCTCCAGGGAAAGTAAACTCACTGCTGGAAGAACCCCAAATCATCTCTCAGCAGCTCTGGCTGGTTTGGTAACATTTCTGCCCATGGGTCCTGTGATGGGCTGGTGCCACCCCCAAACAGGTCTGGTCTGCCTCTTCCCCCCACAAGATGGTCCCTCAGCTATCCAAAGGCAGCCAGGTTTCCCATCCTGAGATCCCTCTTCCCCGGGCTACTGGCCCCCAGGTTCTCATGCATTCCTCTCATGATCCTCTACCCTTCTGGACTTTCTCCTCTGGGTGTTCTTGAGTTACAGTGTCCCCCTTACCATGTGGTTCTCAGATCTAAGCCTAGTATTTAAGCTATCACGTGCTCAGTTCTCAAAACTGAAGACCTCCTCCTTCATCCTAGATACTTGTATTAATGCAGCTCATCAGGAGCCGCTCACAACATTTCTGGTTCTGAACGTTCAAGGTTTCAGTGGTGGCCTCTGCTTAGCAGCGTGGGCTGTGGAGCCAGGCTGCCTGGACTTGGGTCCTGGCTCCTCCACTGACTTGCTGAGTGACCTTAGACAAGCTGGTCATTTCTCTGGGCCTCAGTCTTTTTATCTGAAATATGGGGAGAAACCAATACTTCCTACAAGGTCTTTGTGACAAGTATGTTGATAATTATAAAGTGCTTAGAAGAGCGCTTGGACTAAGTATCCATTAAATATGCAAAATGTGATTGTTTAAAGGACATGGTTTGGCATGGGACATCTGTATCTGTTTCTATCATCTAAGTGTGTATCAAACGGAGTATAACTTTGTTTAAAGAATCACAGCACTTGCTAAAGAGATTATATAATTCTCTTCGAGAGAGTATTACTTAGATGACCTAAAAATATCACTTTCATGAAAATAGGTGATAAAAAATCCTGAGGGGGACCTGAGAAACAATGATATTAAGATGCCAATGGACACAGCCTGGGACAGACCATGGGCATTTTCTTGTGTGATATTCATTTTATTGAGACCAATTTCTCAGATTACTAAAAGAAATAAATGGTCTTTTGATGAAAAATTTTTTGGCTTAGGGGATGGTAGGCTCTGGAGCCAGTGGGCCCCATTCTTAGCTCGTCCCTATGACTCAGTAACTGTGAGATCTAAGTCACATAACTTAAGACAAGGACACTCACTTAGAGATAATTTCTATCCACATCAAGTGGCCATAAAACAATCATGTGAGATCTCAGGGGAAAGAACTGTGGAGTTATATGTAAAGACAACTTTAGCCCAATCCGTTCTTTTTCTGTAAGAGAAAACTAAATCCTCACAACAAACCAAAACAAGATACAGTAAACAAAATGAAATAAAAACTGAGGCCCAGGAAGAGGAAATAATCAGTCCCAGCCACACACCTGCTTCATAGAGCAGGGCTTAGTGGAGGCTCCAGGGCATTTTCTCTCCAGGATCCGGTTTGCCCTCAGATCCGTCCAACTCGAGAAGTAAAAATGGATGGTGGGCTGGGCCTTGCAGTAAGCTGAAGGAAAAGGTGTTTAACCATTCGATGCCCTTTGAAGTAGGAATCCTTGAGGTTTAAGGGAGAGAGCTCTCCTTTAGCACCACAAGATGGGAGTCAGATGTGAGCCGCTGGAGTCCTGTGGCTTGCAGGTTCATAGATTAAACCCTGGCCTACAGTACTCGAGAAGACACAGCTTAGAGACGCCTTGAGAAATGTGGGTGGATTAGAGTTACCAACCGTGATCACCGACCTCTCGGTTCTTTAACCTAGATCGAGTAAATCCTCCAGCAAAAGTCACAGCAGAGATTGAAGGAACCTGTCTCTCTATCCAATGGGAGAAACCAGTTTCTGCTTTTCCGGTCCATTGCTTTGATTACGAAGTGAAAATTTACAACACAAGGAAGGGGTATTTGCAGGTAATGCTTCAGCTCATTCTGATATTCGATGATAGATTTCTTTTAGAGACATTTAAAAAATTATTGTCAGTGACTGCGTTGGTTACCCCTTGGAACTCCATCTACTTGGGTTTTATGAAAATAAATCAAACCTTACTGGCTTTTTGTCTTGAAAGGATCTATTACTTTTGGTTGAAAATAATGCAACGGATCAGATAAAAGTTCATTAGCACCACTGTTGGTGAAATGGTGCAGCTGCTACGGAAAGCAGTACGGGGATTTCTCAAAAATTAAAAATAGAATTATCATATGACCCAACTTTTCTACTTCTGGGTACATATCCAAACGAATTGAAAGCAGGGTCTCAAAGATCTCTGTCCATCCGTGTTCACAGCAGCATTATTCACAATAGTCAGAAGAAGGAAGCAACCCCAGTGTCCAGCGACAGAGGAACGGATAAACAAAATGTGGTCTATCCATACAATGCAATATTGTTAGCCTTAAAAAGGAAGACAATCCTGACATGTACTGTACCATGGACGGACCTTGAGAAAATTATGCTAAGTGAAATAAGCCAGTCACTCAAAGACAAATATTGTTTGAATCCACTTATATGAGGTACCTAGAGCAGTCAAATTCATCAAGACAATGGTGAGACAATGGTGCTTTGGGGGGCTGGGGTGAGGGGGGAATGGGGAGTTTTTGTTTAACGAGTAGTTTCAGTTTTGCAAGATGAAAAGAGTGCTGGAGATGGGCTGCACAATGTGAATGTACTCTACTACTGAACTGTGCCATTTAAAAATGGTTAAGATAGTAACTTTTGTGTTGTGTGCATTTTACCACAACTTAAAAAAAAAAGGGGCTTCCCTGGTGGCGCAGTGGTTGAGAATCTGCCTGCCAATGCAGACGACACAGGTTCGAGCCCTGGTCTGGGAAGATCCCACATGCCATGGAGCAACTGGGCCCGTGAGCCACAATTACTGAGCCTGCGCGTCTGGAGCCTGTGCTCCGCAACAACAGAGGCCGCGATAGTGAGAGGCCTGCGCACCGCGATGAAGAGTGACCCCCCACTTGCCACAACTAGAGAAAGCCCATGCACAGAAATGAAGACCCAACACAGCCATAAATAAATAAATAAATAAATAAATACATTTAAAAAAAAAAAAGAAAAACTGCCTCCTTAGCCCTAATGGACAAAAAGTTCAAGGGGAAAGGAAGTGAATGAAAGTCAATATTTACTGAGCATCAACTATGCATTATGCTTTATTATCCTCACAGTTACTCTATTATGTAATGATCATTCTCATTTTACAGGAAAGTGAGGCACAGAGAGATTAAGTAAGTTGCCCAAAGTCACAAAGCAAGAATAGAATAGAAGTCAGGATTCAAACTTCTGCCTTACAAATTCAATTCAATTCAATTCAATTCAATTCAATTCGGGTTAATAAATATTTACGAGCTGGCTTCTCTGTGGGATATACAGAGATAAATAGGTTTCTGCTATCAAGGGGCCTGGTCTACTGGATGCACTCCCTCAGCCTCAGAGCTGCCTGACCATTGTAAATGTCAACGTGGATACAAAGGAGGGAATGGACAAAGCAAGCTGCCAGGGCCTCCACCCAGGGGAGGGGAATTGAACGGAATCTTGAAGGATGAATAGAAACTTGCTTAGTGGGAGAAGCAGAGAAGGACTTTCAGCCAGCACTTCCCCATGTATTTAAGCACACATGGTGAAAGGCTGGCTTTCTTTTTAAAATTTCTAATCCACCCTACATTGGTACTTCTGTAAAATACAATAAAAATGATTTGCTACAAAAATCACGTATAGCCAAAGACAAGTGATCCTGGGCCAAGCCAGTGATCCTGGGCTTGGACGCCATGGCAATGCCAGGTTGCTATGAAAGCTCTCAAATTGTTGTCTCCATTTCTATAATTATCTCCTCAAGGATCAGCAATAAACTACTCCTGACTCACACCAGTCCTCCAACCACACTTGGAGTGGCAGGGGTTCTAGGCAGAAGGAGCAACTCCACAGCATGAGTGAGCACGGTTCCTTCAGCCAAGTGGCAGTAATTCAGTCACCCTGGACATAAGGCCAACGTTGGAATCATAACTCTAGCTCTTACACTGGGACTTCTCCCAGAATGACTCTAAGATTTTGTTTAAAAAAAGAAATGGTTTCTTTTTAAAACCGTGGTCATAGGCAATGGAAACCACTAAAGTGTTTAGCTTGATAGAAAAATGTGAACACATCTGCAGAATCGCAGAATTATTTTGGAAGCAGCATGAAAGCTGGGTATGGACAGAGAGGGGACACGTGGACATAGAATACCGGTTTCATGGCTACTGCAGAAGTCCAAGCGAAAAATGATGAGACCTAAAATGGCAGTGGTTTCGGAGCAGGGACAAAGAAGGGAGAAACACATTCAGGAGCATGTAAGATACAGGCGGCCAGGGACACATCTCGGGTTTGGGGTATTAGCTGCATGGTGGGGACACTGACCAGTAGAGAGAACACAGACGAAGGGTTTGATTGTGAGAAAACAGCCTCATTTCAATACTAGACAATGTTAGCCTGTGTTGCCTACGGCAAATTGGCATTTACTGAGTGCTTATTATTAGGTTGAACTGCCCCAAATGGCTGTTTTTGCAGGTCAAAAATGGGTTGGTGCATATTATCACTTTTCATGATTCAACCCAATATATCTTTAAACTTGGGCTTTACAAAGTTAATTCCATTTAATTCAATAATCCATTAGGTGGTATGGTTCCTATTTTACAGATGAGAAAACTGAGGCTCAGAGAGGTCAAGGAAATTGCCCTGCAGTTAGCTGGAGGTAGACCTGGGATTCAAACCCTCTTCTTCCTAGATTCAAGGTCCTTGCTCTTTCTGCTTCCCTATGCCCCCTCCACCCCTTGCTCCTTGCCCCCTGGCTTGGGGTGAGACACTGTATAAGGGATCAGCGAACTTTCATTGTAAAAGGCCAGATAGTAGGTATTTTAGGCTTTGCAGATCATACTGTTGTTGTCACAATTACTCAGCTCTGCCATCAATACAAGCAAATAGGTGTAACTGCGTTCCAGTAACTGTGTTTGTGGACACTGAAATTTCAATTTCATGTACTTTTCATGAGTCGCAAAATATTATTCTTTTTATATTTTTCAAACACTGAAAAATATATAAGCCATTGTTAGCTTGCAGTCCCTACAAAAACAGGCAGCAGGCCAGATGAGCCACAGACTGTAGTTTGCTGGATCCTGTTGAATATGACGGAAGCCAGGTGATATTGTTAGTTAGGTGATTAGAGAATATCCAGGGACAAGATGAGGGAGGTTATGCATTCTATGTGCCACTCCAGTCTTTCAGCCTGGAATTATCAGTTGGACCCGGATGGATCATCTGGATCTTACAATTGCCTGTTTTATTTATTTTGGTTACTACATAGCTTCCCCCGCCCAGGGGTGACTGCCAACACCTCCATAGTGAAGTGGTCTAGAATAAACTAATCGATGTGAGTCTTACTGACTTTAAATGGGTCACTGAACACTTGAGTCACATTACTTACATATGACCTCCCATCCTGATGATTGCCATAATTTAAATTGCGTGTCCAGGGATTCTTACAATGATATTTTTTTCCCATTTAGACAGAAAAAATGACGACCAATACATTCGTCTCCGTAATTGATGGTATTTCTGAGTATTCCATTCAAGTGAGAGCAGCAGTGAGCTCTGTGTGCAGGGCGGTGGGACCCTCCAGTGAGTGGAGTCAGCCTATTTATGTGGGTGAGTATCTCGTGTTTATTTTAAAGCCAGTGACCTTACTTGTAGTTATAACAGATCCTCCTGGAAAGTGTACACCTTCACTTGTGAGTCCTGAAATGCTTTCACGTCCCTACTAAGCCTCATCCTCTGTCAGTCTGCTGCCTTTTTGACCAGAGGTAGGTTTACCATGAGGCCTATGAAGCTCCAGTGTTCCAGCTTCTCACTAGCAAGAGCCCTTCCAAAGTCTAGTACTTTTTTTTTTTTTTTCCAGATTATCTGGTCCTACTTCTATTCAGTTTTACCGAATTAATTTTTTTGTTTTGAAATAACTGTAGATTCATATGCAGTCATAAGGAATAATGTCAAGAGAGCTCATGTAGGCTTTACTCAGTTTCTCTCAAGACTAACTTCTTGCAAAACTGTAATATACTATGGCAACCAAAAAAGTGGCATTGCTACAACCCACTGATCTTATTCAGATTTCATTCATTTCCTATCTACTCATTTGTGTATTAGTTCTATGCAAGTTCATCCCATGTGCAGGTTCATGTATATGTCACCGCAAGGCTCCTTCCTTTTGCCCTTTTTTAAGCACTTTCAGTCCTCTCCCCTCTCCTCCATTCCTAACCCCTGTCGACTACTGATCTGGTCTCCACGTCTATAATTTTCCTATACCTAATTCTGAATTTATACTTTTGTTTCATTTCATAAAGAAGATTCCAAAAACTGAATAAGCTCAGGGCCCACAAAATCTGGATCCAGCCCGGGGCCCTCAGCGTAACAGACCTAGAGGATCCCAAGCACTGGCATCACCTGGGCTCCTGCATGGGTTCTACAGCTGTTTCTGTTTATGATTAAACTGACCAGCTTACTTGGCAAATAATATGATCATTGTATCTGTCTGTGGGATTGGAGAAGGCTGATGATGGTGGCACTGAATGAAAGGGCAAATTTCCATTCTCCTTTTATGTCAGATGGCAATTCCATAACCTGGAGAGGTGGCCTTGCACTGTGATGCTAGAACATGCACACCCTGTGTTTGCTATTATCTGCGTATCTTGGCCAGTTAAAAAACAACTAGTGTATCTCATGTATGTGCCACAGACATGCAGCCTGGGGATGCACACGTTATGTGGCTAAGTGCTGCATAAGAGCTACAAGGACACGAAGAGGGGGGAAGAATTCTGAAGTCTTCCATAGAAAGCTCAGGTTTAATGCCAGCCTTAGCATGTACTGACTACATACCCTTGAACAAACCACTTCTCTCTGCCCATCCGTGGATTCCCAGGACTAAGGAGGTAATTAATATCCACCTCTCCTGTCTCACAGGTTACTGTGAAATACAAACAACAATGACAGCAGATTAACAGTTATTGCTGACTATCCTCCAAGCCCTGTGCTAAGTGCTTCACATGCACTAGCTTCACTAATCCTATCCACCAAGCTGTTCTGCAGATGAGAAAACAGGTTTCGAAAGTTTAGACAGTTTGCTTAACTCTGCATGGCCAGTAACTGGCAGAGAAGGAATTCAAACCCAAGCTGACTGACGCCAGCACCAGAGACCTTAGCTCTATGGCATGGGGGCCGGGACGCTGCAAGCTGCGAAGAGCTGAACAAATTAAAGATGTATTTAAGGGATCCTGGTAGCTAACTTTGTGGTTATGGCTGGTCAAGCACGTGAATATCACTGTCCCTCATCCTACGAGGTAGTTAACGCTCCACTGAAGGGTGTACCTAAGGAGAGATTTCTTTCGGCACATGCTAGGATTTTCTATCATTTCATTTATTCACTTAGGCTAATGGGTGTCTCTGCAGGACACTCCTGGGCAGTGACCCATGGGCCCATGTGGATGTAAGTCAGACCAGACACACAGCAGGGAGATTTCCAAGGGAGACTGGGAAAGACAAGGAAAGACCCGAGAAATGGAGCTGGGTTCTGAGTCTGCAAGGGGACTGGTCTTACTGAGTCGCTGAGCTTCCAAAGGGGAAAGGAGCCCCTAGAGCTGTGTGACACGACCATCACAGCCTTATGGCACGGCCGCCACATCACCGCACTGGGACTCAGAGGACCAGCATGAGCCTTGCTGGGAGAGGAAACCGAAAGGACAAAAGGAACTGAGAACCGGCCAATTGCACCTACTTCAGGTCTCTGCCAAAGCCAGTCTTTCCCCCTCCCCCCTGCATCCTCCCCAGGTCCAGGCCCCAACCTGACCAAACAGACCCACTGCATGCAGGCACCCCTTCCACACCGCTTTATCTGCACAGACGAAATCCACTCTACGCCCCGAGACAGGGACCAGCAGAAGAAACGTGAATCCGTCTCAGGGAATTTTCAGCAAGGCTATGAATTTCTTCAAACGCCTGCGACAGAAGCCTAATTTTCATGACCCGCATTCGGTGGATTTTTTTTTTTTAATGCTTTGTTATTCCCCAAAGGCCGAAAACTCACTGGCCCCCAATTACTGACATTTCTGAGTGTCTTCCCAACATCACTGCACATATAGTTTTGGAGTTTTTTTATTTTTTTTTAAAATTCTGTTTGAGGACCTCAAACTAACTTGGAAACCAAGGTGGGAATCTTGGCTACGGAGCCAGTTCTGATTTTTTAGTGTTTGGGTTTTGAGTTCTCATCAGTGTTGTCTGTTGGGAGTTTAGAACTTATAGAGCAGAAGAAAGCGAGAGACAAATCAGGAGACCTAGGTTTTGGTCGTGGCTCTGCCAGTGCCTAACTCTTTGACTAAAGTTAGAGATGCGGAGATAATATTTCATGAGCCCAGTTATCGGAGACGGCTGTGGAAGCCGTGCTGAGAGGGAATCTCAAGTTACATTTAGGTCATCCGAAGGCGTGGTCATCTGTTGTCACCCCTGCAGGGGACAGAGTGGTGACCAGCGTGGCAGAGTTTGGCTGCCCCCGACCTAGTCAGTCGCCTCTAACCCCTCTGGGTCTCAGTTTTCTCACCTGTAACATGTGAGTCTCCTCACATGTTACAGGTGAGGAAGTTCTTCCCTACTCTGCCTTTCATGTTCTCTTACCCCCATCAACCGCCGACAAAAGTGCTGAGAGACAGATCGCGACCTGTGCTGAGAGTTTACTTTAAGCTTGTTTTTAATTTATTTTTCACTCTCCACTTTAGAGCTGGCGCCCCATGATTATTTTCTAAATAACAGCTTCCTAGCTTGGAACCGGGCTCATTATCGTTTGCTCTCAGGTGTGCCTCACTGCCATCACCCACGGCAAATCCCATTTCATTTGCTGCCAGCCTGGTCATGAAGATGAGCTGATTAATATTACCACGCACCTTATAAATCCATCCTTTCTGGAATTGACTTCCCTGCTCACTTTAGGATCATTAGTGAGTTTAATCAATGCAGGCTCTCTACTGTCATCAGGATGATTAATAAACATCACAGGAAGCTGGGGCTCCTCTGGGACATTCCACATGGCTCTTCCTTACCCCTCGAGGATGCAGCAATAATAATGCTCTGCTTGCAGCCTACCAGGCAGGGCTCCCGCTCCATTCATTTCCTCTAGACATCCTTGCTCCACTCCTACCTTGTCTTAAAAATGGCACCCTGGAGCCCTCCCCCTTCCACTTTCACACCAAGGCCTGACTCACATATCACCTCTTTGTTAGACATTATTAAGTCCACGTCTTTTATTTGAGGGAAACGGAGGCCCAGAGATATTAAATAATTCAGTAGTTACCAAAGAGCCAAGAAGTGGCTATTAATGGATAATATTCTCAAATAGGTGACATAGGAGTCAATGAGCGAACTGGAATAGATTCAATTTACTAATTAACCCATCATCACCCAGGGTTATTGAATCAAGAGAGAGACACCAGATGAGTAAGTTTTGACTGATGCAAAGGGAAGGCGGAGGAGACAGGACTGCTGTCCTGCTCTGGTGGGCAAGATCCCTGGACAGTCAAGAGGCACAGGGGCAGCGTCAGTGGTCCAGCCAGCCACAGCGTACTCTTCACCTGCCCTGAAACACTGCCCTCCTGTGCTGGGATTTCCAGAACATGGAATACTTCTTTTTTGTCCTCAGACGGAAGGAGCAGTTTCATCTCATCAGCCCTCGTTATCAGCTGCCCTTCCTCAGCTGGCTTCTCTGCCTTATCTGAAGGGCTAACTGTCCACTTTTCACACTTCTTCCTCCTTCTGCAACTTTCTTAACTTCCGGACCCTTCTGCTCCCTTGCTATCTGGGCCGTCTCCTGTTTACCAAAATCTGGTGTCTCCTGAGTGGTTTCTGGTCTGAGTGAAGATATTCCTTGTCTCAAGTCCATCATCTTCTCTTCTCTCTCCCCTCCCGGAAGCTCAAATATCATGCAGGAAACAAGCAATAATGAAAAAAGTTTCCTACAATAATGCCCTTCCCCGTGGAAAAGAGTGTTACACATGCATCCACCCAGCCGTGCTGCTGGTCAGGCTCAGGGGCTGAGTCCTGTGTATCAGTGACGGGTCTTCCCCCCCAGCACAGGCCCTGCCCCTCAAACAAACAATCCGGTTTTGCCCTGACATCACTAAAGGCTGTATCTGAAGGCCAAGATGTATTTGATGATGGTACCAGGTACCAATTAAAATGTATTTACAAAAAAAAAAAATATTGCTTTAGGCTTGAGATGTATAGCACTTACACCCCGGGGAGTAGGGGAAAGTTCACCGCATTTCTCAGATGCCTCAGCTGTGCGGTCAAGGTCGACACGGGCTGGCGGCTTCCTTTCAGGGCATCTTCCTCGAGACCTGTTACTCACAGGAAATCCTGGCCGTGGCTTTCTCTCACAGTTTGTTTGCGTGTGTGTGTTTGTGTTTAGGGTGGGGGGAGCCTTAGAGTCACATCACACATTCTAGAATCGGTCAGGACTTCATGAAGAGAGTTGGAAGCAGAAAATCAGGGAGGGAAGTAAGAACTGGGGCTGGGATGGAAGCAAGGCTCCCACAGGGAAACCCTGCTGCCTTTTTCCTCGGACTTGACATTCATGGGCCGTGAATGAGTGGGGAAACCCGGCACACCGG